TCAATCACCTCAGATATGCAGGTGACACCACACTTAGCAGAAAGCGAAGAACTAAAGAGTTTCTTGATGAAAGTGAAAGAGGAGAGTGAAAAAGCTGGCTTAAAGCTCAACATTCAGAAAACTAAGATCATGGCATCTGGCCCCATCACTTCATGGCAAATAGATATGGAAATAGTGGAAATAGTGAGAGACTTTATTTGGGGGGCTCCAAAATCATTGCAGATGGTGACTGTAGCCATGAAATTAAAAGACGCTTGCTCCTTGGAAGAAAAGTTATGACCAACCCAGACAGCATATTAAAAAGAAGAGACATTATTTTGCCAACAGAGGTCTGTCTGGTCAAAGATATGGTTTTTCCAGTAGTTGAGTATGGATGTGAGAGTTGGACTGTAAAGAAAGCTGAATGCCGAAGAACTGATGCTTTTAAACCGTGGTGTTGGAGAAGACCCTTGAGAGTTCCTTGGACAGCAAGGAGATCTAACCAGTCCATCCTAAAGAAATCAGTCCTGAATATTCATTGGAAGGACTGGTGCTAAAGCTGAGACTCCAATACTTTGGCCACCTGATGCAAAGAACTGACTCATTTGAAAAGATCCTGATGCTGGGAAAGACTGAAGGCAGAAGAAGAGGGGGATGACAGAGGATGAGATGGTTGGATGGCATCACCAACTCAATGGACATGAGTTTGAGTAAACTCCGGGAGTTTGGTGATGGACAGGGAGGCCTGCCGTGCTGCAGTCCATGGGGTGGCAAAGAGTCGGACACGATTGAGCAACTGAACTGAACTCAATTTAATCGCAAGGCTTCCCTGGTGGCTCAGCAGTAAAGAATCTGCCTCTAGTGCAGGAGACACAAGAGATGTGAGTTCTATCCCTGGGTCAGGAAGATCCCCTGGAGAAGGAAATGGCAATTCATTCCAGTATCCTGGCCTGGGAAATCCCATGGACAGAGGGTCCTGGTGGGCCACCATCCATGGGGCCACAAGAATCAGACTTGACTTAGCGACTAAACCACCAACACAATTTTATATCAATTACAATATCATTCCCATCAGCTATGACTGAGTAGACCTGTTTACCTATCTGGCAAATGATAGATAATTTCAAAATTTTGAAACTTTCACACAGTATGGTTGAAAAGTTGATTGCCTTACAGTTTAATATATATATAGCTCTAAAATGTGTAATATCCTGCCAAACTATCCTTCAAGGAGTTGGTAATCAAATTGCTCTATTCAATGCTAAAAGGTTATATTTTTTAAAATGCTGACAATTTGATAGAAGAAAATTGGTATCTTTGCTGGTTTATATTATTACTTGATTATTGTAAAGTAAATACAAATTTTAGTTCTTATATTTAGCACAGTGATTCATTGTGAGTTAATGTTTATGTACAATATGAAAGTGTTTGAGGTTTAGGGGGACATTTGGATACCAATTGTTCCAATACCATCTGTTGAAGAGACTATCACTTGCACACTGAATTACTTTTGTACCTTTGTCAAAAATTAATCAGCCATTAATTAATTAAGTCTATTTCTGGGCTCTCCTACATTCCAAAGATTCTGATTTCTGTCTGTCCCTTCACCAATACCACTCTCTTGATAAGAGTAAATCTTAAAATCAAGTAGTACAATTCTTCCAACTGTACTATTTTTAAAAATTGTTTTAGCTTCTTAGTTTCTTTGCTTTTCCATAAAAAGTCTGCAGTCAGCTTATCTATATTTACAAAAGTTCCTAGGAATTCCCTGGTGGCCCAGTGATTAGGATTCAGTGCTTTCACTACTGAGGGCCCAGGTTCGATCCCCAGTTGGGGAATTAGATCTCACAAGCTGTTGAGCCCAGCCAAAAAAGAAAATCTACTGGAATTTTGATTGTAATTGAGTTAAATTCACAAACTGATCTGGGAAGACTGGACAGGCTTCCCTGATAGCTCAGTTAGTAAAGAATTCGCCTGTAATGCAGGAGACCCTGGTTCAATTCCTGGGTTGGGAAGATCTGCTGGAGAAGGGATAGGCTACCCACTCCAGTATTCTTGGGCTTCCCTTGTGGCTCAGCTGGTAAAGAATCCACCTGCAGTGAGGGAGACCTGGGTTTGATCCCTGGGTTTGGAAGATCCCCTGGAGAAGGGAAAGGCAACCACTCCAGTATTCTGGCCTGGAGAATTCCATGGACTGTATAGTCCACGGGGTCACAAAGAGTCAGACATGACTGAGCGACTTTCACTTTGACATCTTTACTGCTATGAGTCTTCCAAGAACACAATGTGTCTCCATTTATTTAGGTCATCTGTGAAGTCTTTGATTAGGATTTTGTAGTTTGCAGCACACAGATCCTGTGTATACTTTGCTAGATTTATACCTAAATGTTTTGTTTAGGAAGTGGGGTTCTTGTAAATGATATTTTTAAAAATTTTGGTTTCCAGTTGTACATTCCTAATATAGAAATGTGTGTTGATCTTATATCCTATGACCATGCTAAGCTTAAACTCACTTGCTGGTTCTAGGAGATCTGTAAATTCCTTGGAACTGTAAATGCCTTGGTCAGTCATGCTGTCGACGAATAGAGATCATTTTATTTCTTCTAAGTCACATGTCTTTTTCTTGCCTATTAACACTGGCTAACACTTCCAGTACTACGTTGAATAAGAGCAGTGAGTGAACATCTCGCCCTTGTTCGTGATCTTAGACAAAACCATACAGTCTTACCAGTGAACGTGATGTTGTGTAGGCCTTTCGCACAGGTCTTTTATCAGACTGAGGAAGTTCCCTTTCTATCATGAAAGGATATTGAATTTTGTTACATGCATTTTCGGCATCAACTGATAAGATTATGTGCTTTTTGTCTTTGGATTGTTGATATGGTCAGTCAGTTCAGTTGTGTCCTACTCTTTGCAACCCCATGGACTGCAGCACTCCAGGCTTCTCTGTCTATCACCAACTCCGGAGCTTGCTCAGAATTGAGTCGGTGATGCCATCCAACCATCTTATCCTCTGTTGTCCCCTTCTCCTCCTGCCTTTAATCTTTCCCAGCATCAGGGTCTTTCCCAATGAATCAATTCTCCACATCAGGTGGCCAAAGTATTGGAGCTTCAGTTTCAGCATCAGTCCTTCCAATGAATATTCAGGACTCATTTCTTTTAGGATTTAGTTGATATGGTAGAATACATTGATTCAGGTTTGAATACTGAACCAGCCTAACATTCTCAAAAGAAAAAAACCTCACTTGATCATTGTGCATTATTCTTTTTTATATATTACTATACATTTTGTTGAGTTTTTTTTTTTTACATCTATATGCATGAAAGGTATCGGTCTATGACTATTTTTGTTATTTTGGTTTTGTTTTTTCTTCTAATGTCTTTGTCTGATTTTGGTATCAGGGAGACACCAGCCTCGCAAAATGAGCTGGGCAGTATTCCTTCTTCCTTAACTTTCTGGAGAAGATTATATAGGATGGATGCTATTTCTTCTTCAGATGTTAAGCAGAATTACTCAGTGAAATCATCTGCATTTGGAGTTTTCTTTCTTAGAAAGTTAACTACAAACTCTTTAAAAAAAAAATAACTAGGGCCTATTTGGATTACCTATTCATCTTGGTTGAGTTTTTTACTTTATTTACGGTTTTTCATGACAGGCCCAAGTCTTATATCTTTTTATAATTAAACTTACCAGTCTCTTCTTTTCTGGTATATCTTTGTATGCTCAGAGAATTCTTCTTTTCTCCAATTTTTAATTTTAGTACAATTTATTTTAATACGGAACTTTCTTCTGGCTAATTTATATTTTTCAGTTCTGATATAAAAAATGTTAATCCATCTGGAATTTAGAGGATGCTAGGAGTTGAAGATTTTCTTTAGTTAAAAATTGGTATGTAAGGAAAGAATAAGATGGTCTTGGAATCTCCCAACTCTATAATCATAAACTTTTTCTCATTAAAAACAAATTTTACATATTCACAAACAGATTAAACTTCTTAATAACCATGAAGACTGTTTTTAAAAAATCAAATATATCGTGGAGCACAAATACCGTGAGTATACACAAAGACATTTTTAAAAGGAGCAAGATAATTAGCTAGAAAACACAGAATAAGAATCTTCAATGAACAGTCATGCTAAAGAAACCAATGTTCAAAATATCCAAATAACTTCTGAAAACTAAAAAAAAAAAAAAAAAGTTTATTTAATAATATAGGGAAATACAAGAATAGAAAATAATATCATCCCCCCTCATCTCACACACACACACTTTTAAAAAAAAAAAAAGATTGTTTTTAAAAGCACAGCATTTTAAAAAATATTTAAATTACATTTTTTATAAATCTCAAATTCCTCCTGATAAACCACTGAATCCGTTAGTGTACACTAACTAGATCAAGCCAGGTGAGCATGGGACTGTCCTTCCTTACTAGTTCCTCCAAGTCTCTCTCAAAGCTACCCACTATGAAAAGGGTGGCCCTGCCTGAGAAGGACTACTGCTGAGGGATGGGTTTATGACTCAGCTTTCCTCTAGAAGCCCCAGTACCTCACTTCCGAATAGAAGTCAAGAACATTCTAGCTGCTACAAACATTCTTTCTCATAAGGCAGAGAAACAGTCAAGGAGGTTGAGAGTGGAGGAGTTTGGGGAGAGGAGCCAATGTTTCTCTTCTATCACTGGATTTCCTAACTAACTGATAGATCTCAGGCCATGTTCATTGCGTGCAGGATTCTCTACTCTTCATGCAGGTAAATTTGGGTGAGATTCTAGGAATAAAGGAAGTAGAAATCAGATGATCTTACTGGTTTTGATGTTCCAGCTAATTTGGGGAGATATTACTGTGTCTAAATCCATGTGTAAATGACTCTACAAAATGGTATCTAGTCTTCTCTTTCTATCACAGACATGAAAAGCTACTTATCATCTGTCCATATTGATAGATACACCTATTCCATTTGGCAGTGTGCGTCCCTCCTATGAGTGGGAAATGATAATATCTGCAAAATCACCTCTTCTACCTACCCTTGTGTTGGACCTCTCCAGACATGGCATAAGCCTTGGCTAGTAACGCGCTCGCCTCTGCAGCTTGGGGGCTGACTTCAGTGTACGAAGAGACACAGATAGAATGGGCCTGGAATACAGAAAATTGTGAGAAGGTTAAGTACCCAAATGGCAATGTTTCACTGTGGATTTTATAGTAGCTCCCACAGAAGTGCTAGTTGATTGACGGCCGATGTTTATTTAATCATGGAGTTACCTACCTGAGACAGGAGTTTGAGTCCCAGATCTGCTACTTCCTCTCTGTCATTCTTGAGCAAGTAATTTTACCTTCACATGTAGAAAGAATATATATTTCCCATTGATTAGGGTTTGAAAGTGAAAGTTGCTCAGCTGTGTCTGACTCTTTGTGACCCCATGGACTAACAGTCCATGGAATTCTCCAGGTCAGAATACTGGAGTGCGTAGCCTTTCCCTTCTCCAGGGGATCTTCCTAACCCAGGGACTGAACCCAGGTCTCTGGTATTGCAGGCAGATTCTTTACTAGCTGAGTCACAAGGAAAGCCCTGATTAGGGTTTGGGAAAGGTTAAATGAGATGATGCATGCAAAGCACTGGGCACAACAACCTTCACATGGTAGGTTCTAAATAAATTTTTACTTTTTATTATGTTTCATCACAAAAGCAAAATCATAGCTTTAGCTCAACCTCTCAAAGGTTCACAGTATCAAAAAAAAAAGAAAAGTCTAGTAAAGCATGAATCCCAGAGCCCAACTGCCTGGGTTCCCATCTTAGTGTAGCCTTTTACTGTAACCTAAGACAAGTCACTATAATTTATTTGAATATAAAACAGGGCTGACAAAAATTGTATTTGTCACAAACAGTTGTAAAGATTAAATGAATATGTATATAGTGTTTAGATATCACTTAACGTTATAAGCATTAGAGAAATACAGCTTTTATTATCTGAACTAAAATGGAAGGAATAACACTTTGGAAAAAGAAAGAAGACAGAAAGCATTCAGCTCACTACCCACCAGCAAGAAAAGAGCCACCTGCACTTCATACTTCACAGGCCAAACACCGTGAAGTATTTCAAGGAGCTCCAGATAACACTTTAGACAACACTTTAGAGCTAAGACCCAGTGCAGAGTTGTTATGAGTAGAGGCTGTGGGGTCAAATCTTCTGAGTTCAAATCCATGCCCCCCCCACCCCCGCAACCTGTTAGCTACACAATTTCCAGTGAATTAGCTATAGTTCTTTGCACTTCAGTTTCCTCATGCTTAACATAAGATAAAAAATAAATAATGGTGCTTACTTCATATGCTTATTTCATGAAATAAATGAACTAATAAAGCCTCATGTGCACATGGTAAAAGCATTCCATACATTTGAACTATTATTTTTGCTTGAACTATTTTTGCTTTGACCTATTATTTTGATTATGTACTGTTTTATTCATTATAAACTGGACTACTGCTTTAAGGGAGTCTGGGACACACCAGCCAGGCTTTCTCCATAAATTGTGGACTCCCTGCCTTCGAGGCAGGATTCCCAAACATCTCTCCATTGTGATGTCAATAACCTGGGATTTCTGGATTGTGAAAGTGAAAGTGAAAAGTGAAGTCGCTCAGTCGTGTCCGACTCTTTGCGACCCCGTGGACTATAGCCTACCAGGCCCCTCCATCCATGGGATTCTCCGTCCATGGGATTCTCTGTTCATGGGATTCTCCAGGCAAGAATACTAGAGTGGGTTACCATTTCCTTCTCCAGGGGATCTTCCCAACCCAGGGATCAAACCCAGGTCTCCCACATTGGAGGCAGACACTTTAACCTCAGAGCCACCAGGGAAGCCCAGGCAATGCCTTTTCTTAAGTAGCAGACTGCTGTCATATGTAAAGTTTGAGCGCAGTGCACTTATTTTTTTGCAAAATAGGAAATCCAGTACTATGATCTGATCTCGGTCATGGGAGATACCTGAAGCCATGGGCACGATTCTTTGAGGAGAGAAAAGGTGAATTTAACCAGCAGTTTCGAGGAAAGTTTTAAGTACCTGATTCATAAAGTGCCCTACACTGTTTAAATTATGATAGACTCAACATTCCTTTGTACATCTTGTTTCATTTTCCTCTTAGCATCTGCCAAATTAGTTACCTCCAAGCAAAACACCATCTTGGTGGTTTAGCCTTAGATTTGGAAATTCAACCAGCTAGACTAGTTTATAGGACAAATGAGAGCATTACACCAAAATATTACAAATTTTCATTTTAGAAGCCCTTTGTGTTTGTTAAAGACATGAACTCAGTTGCCCCTCTGGCTTTTTCCCTCAGCTCCCTCTTCCTGGCACAGACAGAGGCGAGGGAAACCAGGAGGGGAAATGCTGTGTTAAATCAGGTCACACCTGATGGGCAGACAGGCCCACCACGAGCCTGTGTTACCTCTCCAGAGTTTTAGGAAGGTCTCTTGTGTGGATCTGGAGGAAAACTGATCCCACCCCGTTCTTCCCTTCTGGGAACCAGGCCTGCGGTCAAACAAAGCCTCCTGGCCTGGCCTTCAGCCAGCCCACCTACCTGGTGCAAGTACTGGATGGCGTATTCATGGTTCCTCCTCAGCTGCTCGATCCGAGCCATTTCCTGGTAAAGGCTGACCAGATCTGACGTGTTGTCACCCTTATTGGCAATAACGTTGTCAACCGCCTTTTCAAAGTATACCAGTGCAAGGTTTAACCTGCAGTTGGCCAAGGAGGCTCTGAAAGAAAAGGGACAAGGGTGGAAAGTCAGAGCGAGGTGACTTGCTCTGTAGACACAGAAGGAACTGATTCTAAGAACTGAACAATTTGGCCTTCACAGGCTGATCATCTGTGTGGTGGCCCAAAGTCCAGCCTTGCTGTAAACACACCCCTATTAACCAGCATTTTACCCACCAGATTTCACTGACTACCATTTCATCAAACCCATTAATATATCATGCTAGGCTAATTTTATAAAAAAGCATATGGAAAAATTGGTGTCCGGCAGTTCATAAGATGGGATAATTTACCCCACAACAAAGACTTTCTAAAATCAAGATAAAATTTTATTACCTCTGATTCCTTCTCTCTTAGGCTAAAGCAGGGGTTTTCCTTTGTTTTGTTTGATCTAGTTTAGTTTATTCTTCCTCAGGTAAAAATAAGAAAGGATAGAGAAAACAATGTCTAAGTATCCCCCCACCAAAAGGGGGATGAGTAAATAAATCAGGGCATATCACACAATAAAATACTTTAGACATGAAAAATTTTAAATGTGCTAAGTTCAAAAAACAGTTATAAAACTGTACTTAAAATATGATCCTGATGTGCATACATGTAAAGCATTTAGAACAGTGTCGAGAATGTAGTTATACTTTTGTAAACATTCCAACACTTAGAACAGTGCAGGTACAAAACAGGTCAAGTGTGTGGAATGGACGAATGAAATATACACTCAAAGTTATTCTGAAAGAGGAACAAGGCTATCTTTCACATAAGCACAAAAATCCAAGTCACTGCCCCATGTGACGGCAGTAGACAGTCACTGGACTCTTAACTCACGGGCCTGTGGACTTAAGAATCATTTCTGATTTAACTTTGGACATTCGAACATCTCCCCACCATTTCCCATTTGACTACTAGATTCATAGCTGTTTAGAGGAAGCAAGTATGACTCATGTATTTCATTTACTTACCATTCCATCATCTACCCTACCATGCCAAGTGCTTACAGGTCTGGGAACAGACTGTTTTCAAGGATGTGAAGATATTTGAAAAATCTAGGGAACAGTAAATTTTTATTATTCTTTTTTTTCTGATAATCTGATGGGCCCATTATATCATATCTAAATATTCTGATTCTTAGAGGATCCCTAACTGTAAAACAGTTAAGTCTCATTCTGGTTTGAACAAATTCCATGAACTTTGTTTCCGTATGGAATACAACTTTCCTTAAAAATGCATGTGCTATGAATAACTCAAGGACCTTCAATATATTGCTCTAAGTGTTTCTTCTTTATCATTTAAGTTGTCATATTTAATGAGAAAGTGTAAGTGAACATCGCTCAGTCGTGTCAGACTCTTTGTGATCTCATGAACTATACAGTCCATGGAATTCTGCAGGCCAGAATACTGGAGCGGGTAGCCTTTCCCTTCTACGGGGGATCTTCCCAACCCAGGGATTAAACCCAGGTCTCCTGCATTACAGGCAGATTCTTTACCAGCTGAGCCACAAGGGAAGCCCAAAAATACTGGAGTGGGTAGCCTATCCCTTCTCCAGTGGATCTTCCCAACCCAGGAATCGAACCGGGGTCTTCTGCATTACAGACAGATTCTTTACCAACTGAGCTATGAGGGAAGACCACTTAATGCCAAAAGTAGGTGGCAATTCAGAAAAAAAAAATAATTTTAGAGTAAGTAGGAGAGGCAGCACAAGGAAGGGCTAAGAGTCTGTAAGTTCAGATCAAGTTCCAATCTAATATTTAAAGAGTATCTCCTTGGATAGTTTCTTTATCCTCAGCTCTGTCTCTTTGCCCTCTTTCTAATGAGATAAGTAATTGCACCAGCTACCTCAGGGGTGGCTATGAGGATTAAATGGGAAAGAGCACAGAAAACTTAGAACATGTGGAGTATGCATTTGGTAAACATGAGCCTCTTTTGCTATTGAGTCTCTGGTTCTTTTGCTCTAAATATTTTTCTCCCCTTACATACCGAGTACAGGACAATCATGTAATTCCGGGCCTTAGTCATAAGAATGAATATTCATTGGAAGGACTGATGCTGAAGCTAAAGCTCCATTACTTTGGCTGCCTGATGTGAAGATCTGATTCATTGGAAAAGACCCTGATGCTGGGAAAGATTAAAGGCAGGAGGAGAAGGGGGTGACAGAGGACGAGATGGTTGGATGCCATCTCTGATTTGATGGACATGAATTTGAGCAAACTCCAGGAGATAGCGAGAAGGAAATGGCAACCTATTCCAGTATTCTTGCCTGGAATATCCCATGGACGGAGGAGCCTGGTAGGCTACAGTCGATGGGGTGGCGAAGAGTCGGACACAACTGAGCGACGTCACTTTCACTTTTCACTCTCATACACTGGAGAAAGAAATGGCAACCCACTCTAGTATTCTTGCCTGGAGAATCCCAGGGACAGAGGAGCCTGGTCGTCTGCTGTCTATGGGGTCGCACAGGGTCGGACACGACTGAAGCGATTTAGCAGCAGCAGGAGATAGTGAAGGACAGAGGAGCCTGGTGAGTTGCAGTCCATGGGGTTGCAAAGAGTCAGACTAAGGCTTAGTCTGAACAAGAACAAAAGTCATAAAAATGCAAGCTTCTCTAAGCCCAGATCTCACCTGCCCAAAGCAATTGTTAGATCTTTCTCTGAGACCTGTAACCCACAAGTGCCTCCCTTATATGATTTCCTCAGCTCCTTCATGTTTCTCTCTGACTTCTGCAGATTCAAATACGCCTCTCTGCCAGTGAAACAGTCAAGGAAAGTGCCAGGTACACAAACGCCCCCACCGACTAGGGCAGAGTTGGTGAGCAAACAAAAGGGGCCCTTGGGAAAATGAAACACTATCTGGAAACACACACTTCCCTCTGTTCTCTATTTTTCATCTTATGTGTTGTCAAGGGAGGATTCTTCAGAAAACGGGGCCCTGGGTGTCTTGTGGTGTTGCAGGAGTCCAGGGCTAGGATGTGTGGCAAGCATTGGGAGTGAACGGAAACTGTGAATTACACGGGATTTCCTTAGAGGCATCTACTGCGTGACAATTATTCATTTTTTCCCAAGTTGGTTTCTGTGAATGGCAAAAGAGAGGAACTAATTTTGCTGAAAGGGACTTTCTGGGTCATTTAGAAAGTCCAAGCAGAGCAGCTTTTTGGCGAGAGGCAAACAGCAGGAAAGAAAATCCCCTTAATTCCCAATATCCTTCCATTTCCCGCATTCTCAATAGCCCTCTGGCGAACAGCATAAGAGAGGAAGGAAGTGTACCAGATTTTGCAAGCCGAGTACCAGGACCAAAAATATAGAGGGGGGATGTGTAGAGAGAAGGTCAAAGAGGGCTTATGATTATTCATGAACATGAAAGACCCCTTAGTTTTCAAGAAGAGATAGTACCCACAGGCTGTCAAAATCACAAGCTTTTGGAGGAGAGGCATTTTTAACTGTTCTCCCTTGAAATACGGAAAACTATTTCTCTGGTCTATTTTGCTTGGCCTTCGGCTTCATGGGCAATGTTCTCAATAGCATTTTAGAAAAACTAAAACCATCAAGTGTACATTAAATCAGATGTTTTTGGCTGTGTGTTACAAGTCACCTGGGGCTTTTAAAAAAATCTCAGGGAACAGATGCACCTGGGGTCTACTAAATCAAACTCTCGGGGGTGGGGCCCAAATAGCAATCTCTCTTAAAGCTCCTCAGGGGAGGAGGATGTGCAGCCTACTCTGACAAACAGTGCTTCAGTTAACATCCATCCTCCGTCTTCCTACACGGCCACTGCCATTATCACCCGCCTCCTTACTGCTAGCATTGCCTGTCTTGAGGGCTCAACGAAGCACAAGATAGGCTCCCCAAACTTTCAGGTGCCCAGGAGGTGTGTCCCCAGTGAGAACCCTCCCATGGCTCAACTCAGAGCTCATGTGAATAGATGCAGGAGGAACATTTGTACTTTCTAGATGGACTTTCCGAGTGGAGGCTCATGGAGGGCCCGGACACTGGAACGGAGCTACGAGGCCTCGGTTCCACCTCCCACCCTGTGTGAGATGAAACATCTGGCGTGGATGGTCCCTGGCCCTGATCCCCAGATCCCGCTGGGAAGGAAAGGATATTGGTTTGCAGGAGGCAGGCCACCCCCAGAGTGTAGTAGAGCATGACCAGAGTCTCCAGAATTTGCTTTTCTTCCTTGTCTGAGGTTGTGGTTCCCTTCCAGGTCAGCAGGACGTTCTTGGCGGACTCGGCATGTTTCTTGGCCTGAGCTGGAAGGCCTGGGAGAGTTGGAGGGTGGAGGGCAAGAAAGAAAACATCAAGAAAGCACGTTTCAGTCAAAGACATTCCTGGGAGGGGCTAAGGTGGGCAGTATGGTTGTCAGTATGGTCTTTAGTACTGGTTCCCCAAACTGCAGTGCATTAGAATCATCTAGAAGGCTTGTAAAGAATAAGGCTCCTGGCCACCCCCTCCCTAGACCTGTTGAGTTGGGATCTCTAGAGGAAGGGGGTCCAGGACTCTATATTTGAAATTAACTGCACAAGTGTTTCTTATGCAGCCATCCTGGCATTCATCGACAGACTCTATTTGGACATCACTGATGGAGTGATGGAGACAGCAAAGGAAGCTCAGGATCTCAGTCTCAATCTCTTGCTAATGCCATGTGACTTTTTCAACCCACAGAGTTTCTCCATCCCCCAAATGTGAAATGACAACAAAATTACAGCAGCTGCCCTTTTACCAAACACATGGAGACAGTCCAGAAATAAACTGGGTTATGCCACAGAGTGCATGCTTTGAGCTTGCTGGAAAAGGGATTCTATAAAGACAGGGGCTTATGAATACAATTACTTCCATCTGGGGATTTTTTTTTCAATCCAAGATGAAGTTGTTGATACTAATTGGTCACACACACAGGATCTAATTTCTAATGCAGTGAGGCCCCTCTCTAGAGAAAGAAGACAAAAGGGATGCCAACACCCCACAAGACAGAACATGGGGCATGTTTCCCCTTGTTTTCTAACTGAAGGCTGGTATTCCTGAGCCACTTATTTGAACTGGAATTAGTCCAGTTAACAGAGGGAGACTTGGGAGTGTTCAGGTTATAGAACTATTTCCTCATCTTCCACACCAGCTCATGTCCAGTGATCTCTGATGGATAAGGGGAACCCTGGAGAAAAGAGAAAGGCCAGCAGGGAACACCAAAGCCTTCTCCTCTGCCCTCCTGAGGACCACCCATGGCTGGCACAGCTCTCCTCCCCGCAGACCCGAGGTCTGGGAAACACATCACCCTGCCACAGAAGGAGGCCCACTGTACTTTTGACTTGCCCCTCCCACCCCAGCCCCCAGTTTGCTTTCCCTCTGGCCCATGGGGGGCTTCCCTGATAGCTCAGTTGGTAAAGAATCTGCCTGCAATGCAGGAGACCCCAGTTTGATTCCTGGGTTGGGAAGATCCCCTAGAGAAGGGATAGGCTACCCACTCCAGTATTCTTAGGATTCCCTGATGACTCAGAGGGTAAAGAACCCGCCTGCAATGCAGGAGACTTGGGTTCTATCCCTGGGTCGGGAAGACTCCCCTGGAGGAGGACATGGCAACGCACTCCAGTACTTGCAGAATCTTCCTTGGAGAATCTCCATGGACAGAAGAGCCTGGCGGGCTACAGTCCATGGCGTCGCAGAGTCGGACCTGACTGAGCTCCTAAGCACAGCACCCAGCACTGGCCTTTGGAGCTGATTTCACAGCGCAGTGCAGTCAGCGGCATTAGAGGTGATTTAAAGGACTTGCTTTGGAAGCCTAAAGCCCTCATATGTTCCAAACGTGCAGGTCCTTCTTAATGAATTGCAACAATGGGAACACGGTTTCTCTGAAAGAGCCCTAAAAGGAACCCAGAAGCCAAGAAGTCTTTGTTAGAACACTCAGAAATGCCCTTTCTGTAGGTCTCAAACGGAAGAGAAAAACGGACTCTGTCGCCAAAGAAAGGGCTACATCTCAAGTTACCAGATGACAGGGGTCCTCAAATTGCATCGAAAGCACCTGTTACAGTGCAGAGTCCTGGGCCTCCAGTAGTTACAGTTCACAAGTTCTAAGGGGAGAACCAAGGGCTCAGATTTATAACAGCTATCTTAGGTGATACTGATATAGGCTCTCTAAGGACCACACTTAGAGAAACAGTGAGTTAATAAAGTCTTTATGCAAGAAGTGGGACTCTTCTCCTTCCTGAAGAGTAGGTAGGTTCTGACTGATGGAGAAGAATGAGAAAGGGTTTCCACTAGGAGGAAACAGCCTAAGGCCAAAAAGACAGAACGTGTGTGTGTGTGTGTGTGTGTGTGCGCGCGCGCGCGTGCGCTGGAATAATAGGGAAGGCTGTGAGAAGACCAGTCTGACTAAAGGGAGGTTTAAATTGAAAGACACTGAACATATGAATCGGATGGGGAAAATGGAGTCTTAGATGCCAAGAAGAGGCTGGACTTGATCTACGGGGTGACAGGGAGTCTTTACAGGTCCTGAGAAGGTAGCGGCAACAGAAAACTCTGCCAGGGTATCAGACCGAGACAACTAACTAGGAAACTGAGAGCCTTTTTATCAAATAGTTTGCTTTCCATGACCAGCTGGGCCCTTGGGAGTATGTCAGTAAGGAGAGCAGGAACCACATTTAGATGCTTCCCTGGGTGTAGAGGAAGAAGCAAAGTGAAACTGGATGAGCCACTGAAAACCACTCCCGGATCAGCACAACACTGCTCCTTGGCTCCTAAATGAGAAACAAATCCTAAAGTTGTTCTGAGGCTTTGCAAGTCTGCCCTCCAGCCCCACACCCCAGCCCTGGGGGCCCAGTGCTGCTTGTGAAATCCCCAAGAGGAACACTTTCTCTAAATGCATCAGCTAGTTAATTATATAGTTTCTTGCTTCCCTTCATTGCATTGTGGTCCTTCTGATGAAAAAGCAGAGCTCGTGACCAGTGGGCCTTAAGTAAATTGAACTAAACAGCTCATCACACTTGAAAGTTCAGCCCTAAAGAAAAATGACTCCTTTACCCTTCCCAGAATGCACTCTGGTCTCCAAAGCGGGATGTGTATACCCCTCTGGGTATGCAAGATGCCATTAGGGTGTGTATGGAGGTGATAAAAACCTCTCTCTTTTTTAAAAAAAAGTATTTGTTCATTTCCACTTTAATGAATATTTATATTACATAATATTTAATACCATTGTACATAGTTTATAATAAATACATATTTATGGGGAGCACACAAAGCTTTTTTTAGTGCTAAGGAAGCTAATTCTCAAGAGTTTAGAGACTACAGTTTCAGACAAATGTTTTCTAAAGTTTCCAAGTATGAAAAAAGTCCTTCTTTTGTTTAAAAAAAAAATCTCACTCTGGGACTTCCCTGGTGGTCTAGCAGTTAAGAATCCACCTTGGAATGCAGGGGACATGGGTTCAATCCCTGGTCAGGAAACTAAGATCCCACATGTCATGGATCAAATAAGACCACACAATGCAACTACTGGAGCCCAGCACCATGACTAGAGAATCCTTGAACAGCAATGAAAGATCCTGCATGATGCAACAAAGATCCCATGTGCCGTGGCTAAGACACAATGCAGCCAAATAAATAAAATAAATTTTAAAAATGTCACTCTGTGATAATATTTTTATAACATTTCCTACATGAGAAAATTCAGGATGACAAAAAATACGATGAGTCAGAATCTAATGCTTTAAAAAGAATTTGCTTTTTAGTAATTACAAGAACACCCTCTTTTGTGGAAAAATAGCATCTGCATATATGTGTACATGTAAGATTCATTTCCTCTCTCTCCAGAGGATACTCACAGATCAGTGACCTTGTTCCCTAACTCCGAGTCCCAAATCCCCAGTTCCAACATCTGCTCTGAGACCAAGTCAGTTTCCTTTACTTACTTTCCCAAGCCAAGGACACCAGCCTTCTCCCTGCACCAGGAATGCAGCAACTACAGAAGTGAAAATCAGGGCAGCAGCAAGACCTGCTGAAGCCTGAGACTCAGAAATCACAAGCACATACTGATAAACTGGGAAAGGGGTCTGGAGATTGTTCACCCAATATATCAATCTTTTCTCTTTAATTTGGGATAAGATTCCACCACTGATGTCTGTTACTCTGACTCAGGCCACAGACAATCTGTTCAGAGCTCCTCAGCCTTTGTCATCTTAGAACACCACCTATATTTAGGAAGTTCTCACAGTAGTGATTAAGAGAGCAGGGTCTAGGGCCAGACTTCCAGGTACAGAAGTCAGCTTAGCCACTACCTGAATGAGTTACTTAATCTACCTGTACTTTAGTCTATTCATCTATAAGATGGCAATGAAAATACCTCCTAACTAGTATGGTTGTTGCAAGGATTCATTTAATTCATGAAAAAGGACTAAACAGTGCCTGGCACACTGGTGGGAAATGAGTTTAAATAAATATTAGCCATTATTATCATTACTACCAGGATCCGTACCTCTTAAGCAATTTATTATACTTGTCCTTACATACACTGGACATTCTTCATAAAGCTGCTAACAGCATCTCTATAAAAGACTGCCTTCTCAAATGCACACTCACTTCAGATAGGTAGCAGGCTTCCTGAAGGTCTGATCACCTGGGTTTTTTATCATTTCTTTTTGTTCCTGTACCAGGTTTTTTTGTTTGTTTTTAACCAACTAGACAGAGAAGGTAGGGTTCATGACTTATACTTCTTTTTTGGTGTTTTGCAGAACTTATAAAAGAGCCCCAGATACTTGGAAAGGCCCCAGTAAGAACAGGCTAACAGATTAATTCATTGCTTCATTAAAAATAGGAAAAGCCTCAGGAAACTGCCTGTTCATATTACTATTTCCTCCTAAACACTTGGAAACAGAGGTAACAAGGTGACCGGCCACTCCCTTGTTCTCCACCTGCCCTTCTCTCAACCACGGAAGCCCTAGCCTCAGGACGTTCTCATCAGGTCAGCTGGTGACAGAGTTCCACTTCTAGTGTCCCCTTCCTCTATTTTACCAGCCCACAGCCTTTTATACTCTGCTTTGCAAAGGCCTTGTGTTCTCTCGTATTGACTTATGGACTCATCGCATCCATTGCTCTATTTTTAAAACCTTGAAACTCTCTACCTGGCTCCTTCCTCACTGCGAGAAATCTTCCCAAGTCTCCTCCTCTTATAAATTTCATGTGACTTTCCTGCCTTCCCTAACTACCCTCTATTACCCCACATCACTTTCACTATGCAGGATGTGACATACATAGTCTAGATGCTGGCCCCTGAGCCTTGCCCTCACTCCTGGCATCTGGCTTCTGCGCCAACCCTTCTGCAGGTTCTTGTGAGGTCCCCAAAGGCATCCTACTGAATCAGTGTGTTCACGGTTTCTTGCATTCCAATCAAGGCAGCATTAGACACCCTGGCTGCTGGCTTCTCCTCTTGGCTTCCAAGGTACTGCACTAACTTGATTCTCCTTGATAAACCTCTGACATTGCTCACTCCGCCAGGGTCCCCTGTTCCCTCCCATAAATGTGTCCATTCTCCAAGGACCTGTCTTTTCACTTCTTCCTTTTCTTCTCTCTTTCCTCCCAGAAGTTTTATCAACTCCTATAACTTCAACCTTGGCCTTCATGCTTATAATTTTCCATTGCCCCTCCCTACTTCTGGTCTCAAATATTCCTCCATGCTTATGATTCCCTTCCTTTCTTTCCAAGTTCTGGTCCCAGTTTTCTAGCACCTAGTTAAAATATACTCGTGGCTTTTGCTATTGCAACTCAAAATCAGTATATCAAAAACCAGATCCACATTTCCTCTTCCACTCCACTTTCTTTCCTGATCTACTTGTCTCTGACAGTGGCACCTTGAGAGGCCTGAAACTTCATGGTCATTTTGGGGGCCTCACTTTTCCTCAACCCCAAATCCAGTGCCATGTCTTGCCAATTCTTCCTTCACAGTCTTTTAGAACAGACAGTACCTACCTAGGGTTCAAAAGTCAAAATGTTATGCAAAGGTAAATGTTGACAGATCTCACTTCCAATTTTATTCTCATTTACCACAAGCAACCTCTAGGTAATTTTCTTTCTTGTGTTTCCTTCAGTATTTCTTTTTGTGAACATAAGCACATATTCTCATTTCTCTCCCGTCCTTCTCACCCAGAAAGAGGCAGGTTACAAACACCGTCCTGCATGGTGCATTCTCTGTCGCCTAAAGATGTATCCAGGAGATCTTTCCCTGGTTGTAGACAGAACTTCCTCATGCCCTTTCTAAGACTGCATACCCCCACTGTACATATGAGTGATTCATGAGTATACTTGGTTGTTTCCAATCTTTTATTATCATAAACAGTGCTGCAAAGAATAATCTCAGCCAAACTGTCTCATCCAGGTTATAACTGTAGATTCAGGAAAGAGTCCCAGAAGTGGGATTTCTGGCTCAAAAGGTAAGGGTATCTGTGCATTGCAGACTCTCAAATCCTTACCTTCTCACTTATGGCCCTGTCATCAGCATGAATTTACACCTAGATGTTAACAGCTAGATGAGATGGCTTCCACTCCAGTTATCATTGCTAAACTGACCTTTCCACAGGCCCACTTTTATTTATTCACCACTTGCTAGAAAATCTCTACTAGTCCTCCTTGTTTACCAAACAAAGGACTAGTTCCTCAGCCTGCCCCCAGGTGCCCTTTCCCGGCTCACCTGAGCAGTCCTCAGTGTAGACAGCCAGGCTGCTGATTGCTTTCTAAACACACATTGCACCTTCCCACCTCCAGGCCTCTGCCCAGGCTTTGTTATTCATCAGAAATGTCCATCCCGTCCTCTGCCCACCCAACCCCAGACATTTTTCAAAGAGCCTTCTTGAACGGCATCTCTTCCTGAATCTATCACTAACTACCTTCAGCAAGAAATGATTTCACCCAATGACCCCAAGGTCCATCTAGTCAAAGCTATGGTTTTCTCAGTAGTCATATTCAGATGTGAGAGCTGGATCATAAAGAAGACTGAGTGCTAAAGAATTGACGCTTTCAAACTATGGTGCTAGAGTAGACTCTTGGAAGGTCCCTTGGACAGCAAGAAAATCAAACTGGTCAATCCTAAAGAAAACCAGTCCTGAATATTTACTGGAAGGACTGATGCTGAAGCTGAAGCTCCAATCCTTTGGCTACCTGATGTGAAAAGCTGACTCACTGGAAAAGACCCTGATGCTGGGAAAGATTGAAGGCAGGAGGAGAAGAGGATGACAGAGGATGAGATGGTTGGATGGCATCACCAACTCAATGGACATGAGTTTGAGCAAACTCTGGAAGATGGTGAAGGACAGGGAAGCCTGGCATGCTACAGTCCATAGGGTCAGAAAAAGTCGGACACAACTTAGCAATTGAACAATAACAGCATCCCCAAAGCCCTGTATTTAAACCAGTCACATAGCATCTGCCATCTGGTGCCTTCTTATCATAGTTGTCTATGTGTAGCTCACCTTCTACATGGTTGTTAAGTTCTCTAAAAGCCATGACTGTGTCTTCTGTACCTTATAGTTCCCAGAGTCCTCTTCACAGCATCTCCCATATACAAATGTCTCATTAAATACTGCAAGACTGTTTATTGAGAGAAATCAGTCTTCTGGCTTGAAGCCCTTCCCCCAGTACTGGAAAAGGCTCCCAGGGAAATGAGGCAGGCAGGTCTGCTGGCCATAAAACACGGACATGTGCAGCAAGGCATGAGCACGCACAGATGCATATGTCCTGCTTACATGGAAGCCTGGCTCATAAATTCTGTCCATTTTAAAGCAGTTGCAGAACTAATGACAACAAAACTAAGTGGAATTCAGCAAGCACTTCATTCCTCTTGAAGGTTAGTGATTTTTCAAAGCTTTTGTTATTTTATTTGAAGGACCACAGACTTTTTAAAAAAGTTAAAGTGAAGAAATTGGGTAAAGCCTATACTTGAAATAAAAGACCCTGGGCTATTCTCAAGGAAAGGTCATGATCATAACCTAGAAAAATTCTAGACTAGGCTTCAGAAAGTCTGGGTGCAAGGTTGAGCACTATTATATTATGTGGACACTTAACCAGGAAGTTGGTTTTCCCATCAAGAAAAAACAAACACACAAAAAGACCTTCCTTTACAGGAAAACTTTTCCCCCCTCCAACCTATGACTCAAATGTGGTTGCCCATTCATGTGGTGGGAAGAACTGTGAGTCAGGGAAAAGAGGGAGGTGCTCCCGGCATCTTTTGTGACATGACTTGTTTACCTGTCTTGAGTCAGCTTGGAATCTAACTGGAAAAGCAAAACTCAAGGTCTACTGGGGCTGCTCATAGAAAGTGTTGACTTCAGAAGATGAAGCCCAACCTCCTTCCACAGACCCACTCAGTAATCTTTCTGAAGAAAGCGGGGCTGTGTCTGCCTTCCCTCCGTTCAGACAGCATCCCCCTCACATGCTTCTGGTACCTTCCTCTTGGTTTCAAGTTGCCCTCACCTTCAGTCAGAATTTCAGAAACAGTTTCCTAAATTGTCTTCCTGAATCTGGGCTCTCCCAGGGCCCAAGGAGTTTACTTGTTGGTGCCAAACCAACTGTCAAAGACTTGTTGATTGACAAATCCACGGGTCTCTCTTCAGCCTTCACCCCATCTGACTTCCCTCTGCCATCAGAACCTGCTGAAACCACACTGAGCTTCTTTTGAAATGCCTTCTTCTCCCTTGGCTTCCCTGAGTTGGCCCTTCCTGATTCTTCTATCTCCTCACGGGCTCCACTTCCTCTACCCCATTTTGTCCTTCAGTCTTCTGTCCTCTGCCTTCTTCCCTTCATTATTATTTTTATCTCTAAGACCCCCATCCTACTGCCTGCCTCACCCATGGGCTGTCCCTTCTCTTGACAAGCTGTGCGTTGGGGACAGGATGGATCCTCCCCTGGTCATCCCCACCCCCAATGCAGTTGTGTGTGCTCAGCATGGCTCACCCACCCACACCCAACTGGGAAACAGAGTACCTCTCAGTGTCAGGTAGCCATAAGCCAGGGTGGCCAAAGCCTGTGCACATTTCCAGTGTTCTTCCCCAAAAATAATCCGAGAAAGGATGACACAGCGAATCAGCTCCTTATTTGCTTCAATGTTCTGCAGAGAGCAAGCAAGTCATCATGCTTTCTGGAAAAGAGGAAAATCCCCGGCCCGCATCTCATCACAGGAATGCAGGACTGCATCCACTGTCATCTTTTTCCCTCCTCCCTGCTTCCCATCCCATCAAGTCCTGTTAGCTCCACCTCACTACTAAGTCCTGAAGCTAAGCTCTTCTCTTCATTCCTGCCAGGCATACCCAGGCCAAGCCACCCTCACCTATGACCTGGGTGACCTCAGCCCCTCCTACTGCCTTTACCCCTGCGCCCCCATAGTTAACTTTCTACATCACAGCCAGAGGGACTTATTTTCACCTCTCACTGTGAAAAATTTTAACAGTATGCAAAAACAGAATGGACAATGACTCACTTAGCTGCCTCAAGTAACTACTCATGGTCAATCTTGTTTCATATCTATGCTCCACATGTACTTACCCTCTCCCTCTACGGCTCTGAAGCAAATCCAAGATACTAAGTTATCTCATATTTCATAAGTACCTCCAAAAGATATGGACTTAGGAATACTGGGTTGGCCAGATAGTTCATTTGGGTTTTTCTGTAACATCTCAGGGAAAACCCAAATGAACTTTTTGGGCCAGACCAACAGAATCACAAAATCACTATCACACCAAAATATTAAAAATGATTCCTTGCTATCAAATACCTACTCCCATATATCTAATAATTACCTCATATTTTGCAGTTTGATTGTCCAAACACTGAGATCTATCTCCTGAGTCTCCTTTAATCCATGGATTCTACCTTTATTTCTAATTCTTTTCATTGAAAATTATTTATGGAAGAAACTGAGTTACTTGACTTATAATGTTTCCCAAAGATGGAAACTGGATTGACTGCATCCTTATGTGTGTCATTCAACATGTCTTTCCATCCTCCATTCTGCCTTTATATTGGTCACTGGATTTAGAAGTTTGGTTACCTTCAGTTTTTTTTTACCCAAGCAAAACTACTTCATATGTTCTACCATCAGAAGACACCTAACCTCTGCTTGTCTCTTGCTGATGAAGGCAAAACTGTATGAATAAATCTATAAAAGGTAATAGATAATAGATGATATAATAGATCTATAATAGATAATACATGATATCCTAATTCTATCATTCCTTCTTCATCTGTTAGTTGGAATAACTTTATAAAAATGAAATCTCCCCTCATCTACTTCTTAGTTACTCAACAGTACAGTTCATATCAGAAGGATAGGATATATACTTTACTCTTTCTCTTAATTTACTAGCTTTCCAAATAATGAGTTCATTCACTAGCACCCACCAGTGGTGCCCAAGTAGCTAGGTGCTTATCATTCTTTTTCTTCTCCTCCTCCATCTTTTTCTCCTTCTTCTAATTTTTATTATTATTTATGATCATAGGATTTTAAAATATATCTGATGTTCCTGAATACAGCAAACTACTTTCTAGGCCAGGGCTTGTACATATGCTGTTGCCCAGCCTGGGACACTCTCATAGATCATTACCCTCTTGTGTCATTTTCATTTTGCTCACCCCAGAGAGGCCTTCCTTGGTCACTTTATCTAAAACAGCCTCTCCAAAGTAAGCCAGAAAGATAAAGACCATTACAGTATACTAACACATATATATGGAATTTAGAAAGATGGTAACGATAACCCTATATGCAAAACAGAAAAAGAAACTCAGATGTATAGAACAGACTTGTGGACTCTGGGAGAAGGCGAGGGTGGGATGTTTCAAGAGAACAGCATCGAAACATGTATATTATCTAGGGTTAAACAGATCACCAGCCCAGGTTTGGGTGCATGAGACAAGTGCTCGGGCCTGGTGCACTGGGAAGACCCAGAGGGATCGGGTGGAGAGGGAGGTGGGAGGGGGGACCGGGATGGGGAATACATGTAAATCCATGGCTAATTCATTTCAATGTATGACAAAAACCACTGCAATGATGTAAAGTAATTAGCCTCCAGCTAATAAAAATAAATGAAAAAAAAAAAAATAAAACAGCCTCTCACCCCATCACTTACTATACTCCATTACCAATTTTAATTTTTTTCTTCATGGCATTTACCTCTCTGATATTCCATTAACTAAAATTTTCTGCCTATGATCTGTCTCCCCAAATAGAAAATAAGTTCCCCAAGAACAGTTTATTCCTCAAATTCACTACTGTATGCTCCATGCACAGAGGAGACCACTCATTCAGCACTTGCTGAATAAATCATCTCTCTACTGGCAAAGATAAGGATGGGGTGGGGAAAAGAGTCCCTGGCCCTGTAGAACTGACGGGCAGAGCTCTTGAAATCACAGACTTACATCTTTTAACGCATAGATGTCAGTAACTTTACATACATAGTCACCAGTAGCTGCACTGATTGACAAAGTCAGGCACTTATTTTGATCCTGGAATTTTGATCTTGATCCTGACATTTACTGACTGTGAAGTTTAGGGCAAGAACACCCTGAGTCCCAGCTTCCTTTTCTACTTAGAGATCTATACCACTCACCTTACAGAATTACTCTAGAGGAAAGTGAGTCAATATCAAAGGGATCCGAATCTGCTCTGTATTATCTGACTGTAACCCCCTTACAGAGTAACACAGAGAAGTCTAAGGACTGTTCTCTTCTGACCCCTGAGACCCCCACATCCTTCCTCACCTTAGACTTCATCCCTCTCAGCTCAAACACACAGAGGCAAACAATGTGAGAGGGACATTTCCCCTCAAGCTTTAAAAACAGCCATTCGGTCAGAACATGTGAGTTCTTCATGGGCCAACCGCACACCAAGTACTAAGTTCTATTCCGAGGAGGAAGCATAATACCATGAAAAATACCTAGAACGGGAGTCCAAAGCCTTGAGTCCTTTCCTGGCTCTGGACATCGTGTATTCATCCGTCCCCACACTTCCTGTCCTGGGGACACAAGCAACCTATATGGGCTCCAGAGGTCAGCCCAGCGTTGCCACTGCCACCACCAACCCTCCTGTCCTTCAGGGCGGTGAGAACTGGGATGGGCTAGATTTAACTCCTAAATCTCAATCTCTGTCGTTATCCAAAGTGGTCTAGGAGCTGTCAAATCTTAGAAGTTCACACTTGCATTCCACAGCAGTTGGTACTTGTCTTTCTAGAACTGATCATTCTAGCCGAGGCTCATGAAATACTAATGGGTCAGGATGATGGTCCTTTCCAAGTTTCTGGGTAGTTTACACAGGTAAATTTACAGATATATCCATCCAGGGAAGTATCAACTTCTGTTGTCTTCTGAGATGCCTCTCAGCCTTTCCTAAGCCATCTGCAGACTTTCACGCAAGTACTGTTCCCCTTGTTTGGGAATGGCAAGGAAGTCAGTAAGTCAGCATAAGAATTCTTTGTTGATAAATAATGCTCTGGGAGCAGGCTGGTGCCTGGGTGTTAATCACGAGGGTCACTGGCAGGCTGTCTCATGTTCTTGGACTTTGAACACTCCTGCTAAACACTTGCTCTGAGGTCGCAGTTCCCAAGTCCTGGTTGTGCTCTTGGAGATGGATACCTGGATTCTCTGACCTCTGCTGCTACCACCCACTTCCTGTCCTTTGGTTTCCTTAGGATTCCACGGTAACCACAGGCATCTTACCATATCCTTGCTAGGCCTGAGCCTAGACTGCACCTGTCTACCCTTGTTCTCCGTCTCTTGCCTCACTATCCCGGACTTCTTGTTACCCAAAAGATACTATCCTGAAACCTTTCAGGAGAAATCAAAAACTGTTTGTTAATTAAAAGAACCAAACAGCAACAGGAAGACCCAACATCAATTTTCAGTTTAAAGCCAAGAGCACAAACACTCCAAGGAAGTATTTAGTGACCCATGTGTGGAGCTGGAAGGTGGGCTGGCTACCAACTATGCTCTGCTCTGTTCTCTCCCACTTATAAAGAAATATTAACACCTTCCTTCACCTTCATGGCCTTCATGGACATGGAAATTTCCATTTGAAAATGGAAAACCTTGTGAATTTTTATTTTACCTTTTTCCCCTTAATCAGCTGAGCTATTTTCTTCTGGGATTGGGCCAATTTCTCTTTGGGATGAGACATACAGTCTATGGCCTTCTCCTTGGCTTTGGTGTCTTCCTCACTCTCTTCAGATCCACTAGTGGGAGATGACTCATCTGTTCGCTGATGTTCTGGGATCTTGGTTTGCTGGGACCTGTGGGTACTAGATAGGGACATGGACTGAGGTTTGACCTTTGCATATCTCAAACAACGTGGCACTAAAGGACAGAGCCCTCCCAACTTGGGGCTGGGGATATGATCTTTAAAACAGACTTGAAAAATAAAGCCAAGTAGCAAACTCATTTCACCTGCAAAACCCAGAATTAGAACAGCAATGTAGTGGTTCAAATGAAACAGATTTGTTGAACTACCCACTCAGCGGCAACTCTGTGGCTTACCAACCATAAGACCTGAAGTTATTAATTTGTTTCTCTGTAAAATGAAGTCAATATGAACACTAACCTGATGAGGTTATGGGATTAAGTCAGGTAATACTCATAAATCACTTAGCACAGTGCCTGCTATTTAGTAAGTGCTCTTTCAACATTAGCTATTATTATTTTATGAGTTCCATGACTTCAGGATGTTGAATTGGAACATCTCCAAGATTCCTAGTGTTCTAAATTCTGATCCAAACCGGGGGCAAAAATGGACATAGTGAAATAAGCTAAAGGGAACTAACATTTTGAGGTTGGAACTTCACATGTCCTCTTTCAAATTTTTTAAAAGCTTCAATATAAACCCTAACTAAAGAGGATGTGGTTCCACCAAGGAGAAGGGAGGGGAACACACACTGGGTCAAGTGCAGATTCAAGAGAGAAATGACCTTTTCAGTTATTAGGAGAAAAAAAACAATAAACCAAAAACGTGTTGAAGAAAGAGCTGAGTGGGTTGAAAAATCTCCCTCTTCCCCAGCACCCCTGCCCCACCCCTAAGACACACATACACACATGCATACACACAGACAACGTAAATCTCAGATTTCAGTGCTAAACATAATTATGAATGGGTAATTGATGTGATAAAGTCCAAAGAGTGAATCCTACGTTAACAAAAGAGATAACCATATCCTAACTCTACCAGAATAATCATAAAGTGATCCAGAAGAAATAGAATTGTAAGATCTTAAGAGGAACAGCAGAAATTTTAATTGGAAGTAAGTTACCCCAAAGAATCACCCATGTATTCATGATAGCTTTTAAAAGCTCAACAACTGCATAGTTCTCAAAATAAATTTTATCTTCCTTTTCCACTAATTAGATAAGTAATAAATGCTCACTGCAAGAATACAAAAAGGAGAAAATTTAGAAGGAAAATAAATGTCAAATGTAACCTTTTACACCAGGTTCGAATGAATGACATGTTAATATCCATCCAGAGTTCTGTTCTAAATAACCTATATTTATTTAGGCATGTGGGTAAACCATGTGGACAGGGCAGCAACATTTCTTTAGGCCCAGACCCAGGCCCCGGCAGGACTGCCCTCAGCGCACAAACAGAAGTGTGCTTTCAGACGACGTGCAAAAACTCAGTGGAAAAGGGAGAGAAGCCTGGAGGAGCCATGAAATTGGGAAACAGGAGTTAAACTTGCCTGATCTCTGCCTGGTGAATTCCATACTCCTCCAAGACCCAAATGGAGTGTCACCTCTGCTGGAAATATCGCACTGGAGTAGCAGTGCGAACACCCTCTATAGGTTTGCGAAAGTTTCCTCCAACTTCGACTATCGTGCGAATCACACCACAGTCTTTTTCAAAATTTGTTTTGTTTCTGAGACTTCTTTGCTTCCTAGTAAGTAAAATCCACCTGGGGTGGATTTTTTACTGAGTCTCATTTGTTTCTAAGAAACCCCGATACCTGGGTCACAGTAGGAAAAAATAACTCCTTATTTAATGATGAACAAATGAATGGAAAAAGGAAGTGTAAGGTCTTCAAGATGCCTGAAAAAGACTGATGATAGAGGAAATATGTGGCAAGAGAGCCTAACTCAAGAAACTCACAGAAAGAAAACCCAGTCTCTCAACAGAAGACCTTGCTTAGGCTGCATATTTCATATACCTGGAGCAGAAGTTCAATCTGTTGGGGTCACCAAAAATATTATTAGCTTTCTTTCAATATTAAAAACAATAAGCCCAAGCTTTAATAGCAGGGCCTCAAAGGAAGAGGAAACGTTCAAGTCTTGATAAATGACTTGAGACTGCAAAGCTCTGAACTAGCTTTGAATTTGTTGCTGTGAAAGGTAAGAAAGATACCTGGAGGCCACACTCAGCGTCATGGCGGGCCTCCTGCGAGCTCTGCGGGGCCTTCCCCTCCGCGAGGCACCCGGGTGGGCTGCGCGGGGCCGAGCGGACTGCAGCGGCCTCCTCGCAAGTGCTGGATCCCCGCGAGCAGGGTCTCTTACAAAACGTCAGCCGGCCCTCTCCAAGAGTGAGTGGCAAAAGAAGCTGACACCAGAGCAGTTCCATGTCACGAGAGAAAAAGGGACGGAGCCGCCTTTCAGTGGGATCTACCTGAATAACAAGGAACCAGGGATGTATCACTGTGTCTGTTGTGACGGCCCACTCTTCAGCTCTGAGAAGAAGTTCTGCTCCGGCACGGGATGGCCTTCGTTCTCTGAGGCTCACGGGATGTCTGGCTCTGATGGGAGCCTCACTGGGACTGGCTCGCACAGAGGTGGTCTGTAAGCAGTGTGAAGCTCACCTCGGCCATGTGTTCCCCGATGGACCTGGGCCTGCTGGGCAGAGGTTCTGCATCAACAGTGTGGCGCTCAGGTTCAAGCCAAGGAAACACTGACCACCTCCGAGAGTCCCCTTCCCTCCCTCGCCACTCCCTCACCTCCAAATTCAATTCTCAGAACTTATGTGAATGACTTTTTGTGACCCCATGAGGTGTAGCCCGCCAGCCTCCTTGTCCATGGAATTCTCCAGGTAAGAATACTGGGGTGGGTAGCCATTCCCTTCTCCAGATCTTCCGACCCAGGGATCGAACCCAGATCTCCCGCATTGCAGGCAGATCCTTTACTGTCTGAGCCACAGGGGAGCCCGGTGTGAACGACTGCCTGTTGTGAATGGCAGTTTCGTTAACTACCAAACCAAGGCTAAGTTCGCCGCTGGCACCACGCAAACCACACCTTCTCTAATTTACTGCCTGGAGTCAACTCAGCCCTGGCTCTGGCTTTGACTAGAACTTCACAAAATGACAGAGGGACAACTATTTCCATTAAATCGACTTCTGTGGGCTTTGTCTGGACTGGAGGACATGACTCTCTAGGGATGCTTGGAGGCAGATGGATAAACCAAAAAAAAAAAAAAAATTCTACAAAACGACCCTGAACTTTCCATCGCAGTTAAGTTCTTCCCAGACATATACATGTGAGAGATCAAGTGAAAAGAGGAAGGAAAATATGGCATTAGAGTACTCCACAGTTCCAGCATGGAAGGAGGCATTGAGGAAAAGGAGGAGGAGGGTTGTGGACAAGGTGGGTTTCCGGAGCACGCCTGGAGATCCATGGGATGCGTGATTTTTTCCCCCAAAACGTTAATAAACTGTCTTGAACATTCTAGTTCCAACCTCTCTACCTGCAACTAAATTTGAAGGGTAATCTGCTAGATTTCAGTGATAATGAGTACGAGTGGTTACAAAATTAAACTTTAAAATGTCCAAATAAAATATTTAGTAAAAAAAAAGATACCTGGAGAACACTGACCAGATAGATATCTCAAAGAATAGTCAAAATAAAAAGATTAGGCCAGGGGTTTCCCTGGTGGTCCAGTGGGTAAGGCTCTGCACTTCCAATGCAAAGGATGTAGGTTTGATTCCTGGTTTGGGAACTAAGATCCCCTGTGTTACATGACCAAAAAAAAAAAAAAAAAAATATATATATATATATATATATATATATATATATATATATATAAAGATTAGGCCAGTTAAATGAATGATCTGCCTTGCTAGGTCTCTAACTTATTCTATATATTGCCAACATAAATATGAATTCTTACTAGTAAAATTAGATATGAATTATCTGACTATTTCCAAGATACTCTACTATGCACTTAACATTTTTTTCTTTTTTTAAAAAAATACTTATTTTATTGTTTATTTGGTTGCATTGGGTCTTAGTTGCAGCATGCAGGTTCTTCACTGCATCATGCAGGATCTTTCGTTTTGGTGCATAAACTCTCCAGTTGTGGTGAGTGGACTCAGTTGCTCTGCAGGGCATGTGGGATCTTAGTTTCCAGACCAGGGTTTGAACCCATTTCCCCTGCACTGAAACACAGATTCTTAACCACTGGACCACCAGAAAAATCCCTGAACTCTACATTTTTAACTTCAATTTTTATAGTTATATAATCCTTAAAATATTTTATAAGATGGTACAGAATGAATCATACTAACATGTTAACTACTAGACACACTTGGCTATTAAGCACATGAAATGTAGCTGGCCTGAACTGAGATCTGCTGCAGTGTAAAATACACACCAAATTTTAAAGACTTAATATGAAGAAAAATATTTAATTAATTATTTTATATAATATTATATACATACATATATAGTATTTACATTTACCTGTTTCTTTTTATTTTTTAATATGGCTACTTAAAATTTAATATTAGATTTTTGGCTAGCATTGTATTTCTACTTGATAGCATTGGTATAGAGCAATGGTTCTCAACCAAGGGTGATAGGCAAGAATACTGGGGTGAATTGCCATTTCCTTCTCCAGGGTATGTTCCCAAACCAGAGATTGAACTCACATCTCCTGCATTGGCAGGCAGGTTCTTTACCACTGAGCCACCAGGGAAGCCCTTGCATAGGTTAAAGTGAAAGCGAAGTTGCTCAGTCGTGTCCAACTCTTTGCGAGCCCATGGACAGTAGCCTGCACCAGGCTCCTCCATCCATGGAATTTTCTAGGCAAGAGTACTGGAGTGGGTTGCCATTTCCTTCTCCAGGGAATCTTCCCGACCCAGGGATAGAACCCAGGTCTCCTGCATTGTATGTAGATAGACCCTTTACCGTCTGAGCCTCCAGGGAAGTCCAGAACTGGTATTAGAAAACTACACAGAAGCTCACTCTTCCCTATAACACGCATGCAAAGCTTCTTACCAAGATTGGCCTTAAGTGGAGGTCCCACAGGGAACTCTGCTCAGTGTTATGTAGCAGCCTGAATGGGAGAAGAGTTGAGTTTGGAGGAGAATGGATACATGTATATGTATGGCTGAGTCCCTTCACTGTCCACCTGAAACTATCATAACATTGTTAATTAGCTATACTTCAATACAAAGTAAAAAAAATTTAATAAAAATGTCAAAATTCAAACATACTTTTAAAAAACATAAAATGTAAACACTGAAAAACAAAATCTTTTCATATATTAAAAAAAGTGAAGGTCCCAGGGCTTCAGGCCAGTGGAAAGTGATGCTAAGACTCTGTGGCACTTACAGATGGAAGCAGAAGTCCCAGTCGGTATCATTGGTGACAGCTGGGATGCGGATGGGGCTGGCTCGCATCTTCTTCCTATCAAGAATCACATGTGAGGTTAGCTTCAGAAAAAAACACTTAGAAGTCTGTTCTATTTTCCCTCTGTTGGATGCTATTAGCGTTAAACTGAAACTGCCCAAATATATAACCCACCCTAAATCCACAAATAGACTACACACACACTCATGAATGGTGTACCTGGAAAGCAGAAATTAAAGACATTTGCCAAATTAAATCCCTGAGTTAAATTTCTATTGTTTAAAATTTACTCCACATTACCTCCCAAATCTCTGACCTTTCTTACCCCTTAAGCCAACACATTTACATCTCCTGAATCATGGGAACTGTGATCTCCTACTCAAGTCAGATATTGTTTTTGCAGATGACCAGCTCTCACGACTAACACACTAATAGTGTGTTTGTTAATTCTTCATGTCCCTAGAGACATCTCACTATTTAGTAGGTGATCCTAGTTAAAGAGCTAAAACACATGCATCTATTTTAATTGCTGTCATTAATTGATGGAGGAAATAGTGAAAACTGATGGAGGAAATAGTGAAAACTGATGGCAAAAAAAGAAAAAAATGATTTCTATTATCTTCTAAATTGAACCTTCATGGTTATCCCCATTGCTTAAATCCAATAAAAACGCAATGCAATTTATTTATGAACATTAGCACCCACCAAGTCTCTCCTAATTTCACCCTGCAGAAAGTCACTCATTCCCACCTGAGCCCTGAGTAGGTCTCTGACTAATGCTCCACCCAAAGACTAGAAGGAAAGATTCACTAATTTGTCTTTCTAATCTCTACTTTCAAAACTGTAGCCGGTGACTTCCTTGGTGATCCAGTGGCTAAGGCTCCGCACTGCCAATGCAGAGGGCCCAGGTTCAATCCCTGGTTAGGAAACTAGATTTCGCAGGCTGCAAAGAAGATCCTGAGTGCTGCAACTAACACCAGGTGCAGACACACACACACACACACACACACACACTGTGGCCGGGGGCGAGGTTCACACACACACACACACACACACACTGTGGCCGGGGGCGAGGTTCAAACATACACACACACACATTTATATGTATATGCATATATATAAACTGTGGCCAGGGGGTAGAGGTTCTGACTTCTCAATCTCCTAAATTCTGTTCCTGTGAGATTTCCCATGGCCCTGAACTGAACACCAAATTCTGGCCCCTCTCTCCAGTGCAAATCGCTTTCTTCTTTTCTGCAGTTGTCTCGCCTTCGTAAATCTTAACACATTTCAAGCACCGTCGGAGGTTCCCCCTGGCTTCCTGTCAGCGGCGCACCGGCCGCTGAGGCCCCGGTCGGAAAAGAGGGCGAGGGCGGCCTAGAGGCAAGTGTCGCCGGGTACCTGGAGAAGGGCAGAAGGCCCGGAACTAGCCTTCTGGATACCCTCTGCTCGGCTTCCGCGGGGCGCTTCAGTGTACTGGCCTCTGCGGACCTCGTTCAAGGCGCCACAGGTTGCCTTGAGGAAGCGAGAAGCTCAGCTGGCTCTGCCTTCCGCGTCCGCCGCCGGGGTTTTGGCTCTGGAGGCAATGGTGTTACCATAGGAACGGAATGCTGCGGTAGGCGTTTAGCGTCCGCGCCTGTAGCCACGGCGACGCGGGCACTTCCGGTCCTGCGGAATCCCGGGCTGCCCCAGCCAACTATAGCTGTTGCCGCCCCGGAGGCTTTCCGGTCCTCCCAAGCGAGATGGGGGCGTCCTGACACTTCCCTCTCTTGCAGCTGTACCGCCTACTGTTGTTTTTCTCAATTTGACTTTACCTCTCGGAGATGAAGACCCGGAAAGAAGCGATAAATCCCATCGAAGGATGGAATGGGGCCTCGGGCTCCACGACCTTATTTAAAGCTGCGATGTACCCAGGCTGTATTCGGCGACACCCTGCGCCTCCCGCGCACGCTGCACCCTGCGGTTCCCCGGGTGTTCTGTCTCTCGGGGCACGGCGAGGAAAGCCTCAGAACTATTGACGGTGCTGGCACCGTCTGTGTTGCCTCTCCTGGTAAAATTCGCGCTACACGTGAGTAGTGGAGCGGAGTGTAGGGAATCAGTAGCTTAAGAAATGGTCCACTAGTTCTGCTAATGATTGGCAGGTCAGAGAATATTTTCCAGGGTCCGGGCACACTTGGCAGACACTATATAGCGCAAAGTTATACACCATGTAGCCTTGTCCTACCCACCTTCAGTGGCCTGAAAGATGCAGAGTGAAAACTATCATTTAGATCTGCCAGGTGACGGGGCAGTTGTGGTCAATACCCAAATAAATGGCACTGGCTCAAGTAGCCTTGTGTTTAAGGAGTTGTCATGAACCCCACAATGAGTTAGGGGCCTATGACAAGTCAAATTGGAACTGGTATGTCCTCTCCTTTTCAAAAACGAGCAAGCTCAGTAGAGAGAAAAGGAAAATATTTACCAAGAACTTGACAGGTGGTGTTTACATTTAGTGTTTGTTCTTTCCAGTTCCTGTGTTGAAGTTTAATTGCTGTTGCTCCTGGACTGCCAAGATAGCCTTTCTGGAGTTAGGTTGGAGGAGCTGTTTAAGTGAGTTTGCTTTAATATCCCATAAGTTTAAACCTGGATGGCCTATTAAAGCTTAAATCTCTACCCTCAAGCTCCTGAGCCAAAATTTCAGAAAGATCCCACCTGCTTTATTTTCTGTTTCCTAAAAGAATCCTCAGCATGAAACCACGATGAGAGCACTGAGCTGGGCTTTGAAATGGCAAGTTCTGCTTTGGACTCTGTGCCCTGGGGCAGGTCATAGTCTAGGGGACTCGATTTTCTCGCCTCTACTGTGAGAGTATTTGCACCACTTGCTTTCTAAAACCCCTTCCAGTCTCAGGATTCTGTGAGGTTAAACCAGAGATTTTTGTGATTCTATGAATAATATTTAACATGTATGAGGATAAAAAGGAAGAAGTTGTTTCCTGTTCTCTGACACATCTCCCTTACCCTTACCTTACAAGTTGGTCTTCATTGAAGAGTTTTAATGTTCTGTCATGGTAAGAAGTGCCTATGAGATTGTTTCCAAGAGTAATAAAAATAACTTCTCTTTCCTGAACACTTGCTTTGCTGGTCCTTGTGAGGGAAAGTGAGGTGCTGAGCAGCCATTGAATTCTCATTCCTAAAGCTAACACTGGTGCCATCTCCATTTAATTAGTTCTAACCAGAAGCACGTTGCCCTCATCTGTAAAATTAGAAATCAGATGAGAAGAACTTTAAAAAGACTCTTAGAGTTCTAAACCTCTGTGACTTTTTTTCTTTCCTTGCATTTCAACCTTGGCTACAGATGTAAGCTTAGTTATGGAGCTGCAGGAGAGGGAAATATCACCACATCCTGGAGTCTGCAGTAATCCTTAGGATGGACTGCTAAGTGAGGGTTCTTGACTTAGTGCAAGAGAGAATTCAAGAGCAAGCCACAGGAAAGGGAAAGAAAATTTATTTACAGAGATACACATTCCATAGGTAGAATGCGGTCGGCTCAGTGAGAGTGACCTCAGGGCATGGGGTCATAGGATTTTATGGTCTAAGTAATTTAATAGGGAGGACTCTTTGCTATTTCAGGAAGTGTTAGTCATTCAGTCCTGTCTGACTCTGTGATCGCGTGGACTGTAGCCCACCAGGCTCCTCAGTCCATGGGATTTCCCAGGCAAGAATACTGAAGTGTGTTGCCATTCCCTTCTCCAGGGGATCTTCCCAACCTGGGTCTCCTGCATTGCAGGCAGATTCTTTACTGTCTGAGCCACGAGTGTAGGGATTTCCCAGGAACTGGGCCACTGCCCACTTTTTGGCCTTTTATGGCCCACATCGGAACCAGCATGGCATAAGGGGAGTGATTTTTAGTATCACAATGAAGGTATAATGAGCTATAGATCAATGACCTGGCTATTCTTAAAGCCACCTTGGTTTCAGCTGGTTCCGGCTGGTCTTTATTGCATTCCAGCAGCCTCACTCCATCATCAAGCATTTGTGTCCTGCCCTTTCCCTCTGTCTCAATAGTAGGTGTGCTTCAGTTCTGTTTACTGACTCTGAATTGAAATACTAGTAATCTGAGACAGTGCTTGTATTAATAGTCTGTTCACGCAACGTTTCTCCCTTTATCCTGATTAAGCATTGTTATTGCAGAAATCACATAGAGGAACCATGTGTAGAGGGTTCCTTCTAAAGTCTTCCAATCCCCAATCAAATGTGATTATCTCTATTATTCCAGACCCAGGAACTGTCAAACTTGAGGACAAGGAAATCCAAATAAACTTTCTCATGGACGGTGTAATTTCTTAAAACACATTTTCCGGCCTCTCAAGGCAGGGTTGGATGTCTTTCTTCTGAGCTCCCTTGGTGTCCCATCCATGGTCTCATACTCACACACCTAAGGCTGTTTGTGCTCCATTTACTTGTGAGTTTCTCCATGTATCTGTCCATCCCTTTAGGGAAAAATACCTACTGAATGCCTACCATGTGCCTGACACTGCTCTTTCTAAGCCTTAGGCAAGCAAAAGCAGGCAAAGCAATGAAGATTTTGCTCTCCTGGAGCTTCTGTTCTACCAGGTGAAGAAAAACATAGGGCTGCTAGTAAGCACCGATGTCTCTGCAAGTTAGAAAAAGGCAGGTGGCTTAGGGAATAGGCAGCAACTTTGTGTGAATTATGGAGAAGGAAATGGCAACCCACTCCAATATTCTTGCCTGGAGAATCCCAGGGCCAGAGGAGCCTGGCCGGCTACAGTCCATGGGGTCGCAAAGAGTCGGACACGACTGAAGTGACTGAGCATGCATTGTGTGAATTAGGAGAAAACCCTCTTCCGGCTGGTCTCAGGCCTCTGCTAAGGGGTCCAGCTTTCTGAAAGGGATGAACCACCTTCCATGAAAGTAACAAATTATACAAAGAAAAACAAAGCCGGCAAGGGATCTAGAAAGTGATGTGAGCAGGTGGGGAGGGCTGTGCTGCTTTATACAGGGTCGTTAAGGAGGACTTCTCTGACAAGGTGGCATTGAGGAAGGACTACAGGAAATAAGGAAGCAAATCAGGCAAATGTCAACAAGGGCATTATAGGATGTTAATAGCAAGCGCAAAGTCCCGGGGACAGAGCAAATTTAATCAATTCAAAGAACAACAAAAGGTTCAATTAAGAATGAGAGAAAGAGGACTTTCCTGGTGGTCCAGTGGTTAAGAATCCACCTGCCAATTCCAGGGACACAGGAGAGGATGCCTCGTTCAATCCCTAGTCGAGAAGATTCCACATGCCACTGAAACTGTGTGCCACAACTACTGAGCCCGTGCACCGCAACAAGTGAAGCCACCACTAAGAGAAGCCCGTGCACTGCGACTGGAGAGCAGCCCCCACTTGCCCAAACTAGAGAAAGCCTGCACACAGCAATGAAGGCCCAGCACAGAGAAAAATAAATACGTGATGAAAGAATGAGAGGAAGAGAGACAGGAGCATGAGTCAGCCTAAGAGGAGATCATGATGCAGGGCCTTATAAGCAATTCATCCATCTAAATCGCCACCTACCCACTCATCCAATGAACATGGAATGTCTGCTCTGTGGCAGGGCCATTTGACCAGATGTGTGGTCCTGTGAGCAGGAGCTTTATATTCACCACTGAACCTTTAGCATCCAGCAGAGTGCCTGGCTTATTACTCATATTCAGTAACAGTAAACTGTGTCATCTTCAGGAACTCCCTATTATTAGAGGTTCTGGCCTCTGTTATGTCTCCTATTGCTGCTATAACAAGTCATCACAGATTTAGCAGCTTAAAACGACAGGAATTTATTACCTCCTCCTCTGGAGGTCAAACGTCTGCATGACCATGGCTGGGCTACAGGCTCTCAGCGAGAATTGTTTTCTTGCCTTTTCCAGCTTCTAGAAACCACTCGCCCTCCTTGGTTCTCAGCTCTTCTTCCATCTTGAGAGTCAGCAGTGCAGCATCTTTAAATCTCTGACTCCTTCCTCTGCTTTACAAGAGCCTTTTGATTACAGCCGGCTCACCCAGATAACCCAGGATAATCTCTGTATCAGGCTAATCAGGTCAGCTGATTAACAACTTTAATTCTATCTGAGAACTTAATTCTCCTTTGCCATATAACATAAACTATTTAAATTCCCAGGAGTTGGGACATGAGCCTCTTTGGGAGGGTGTTATTCTGCCTATGAAGAGTGTGTTTAACCTGATTTAAATGTATAAGTTTGAAAACATCTGATGGTGACACACAGGTAATTCTCACTACCTTTCTCCTTTGTTAAATCCTACATTATTTGACCGTGTCCTGCTCCTCTGTCTCCCCTCCACATTCTCCACTAACAATCTGGTACACCCAGTCACCATTCTTGAAATAGTTTCCCATTTTTAGAGCTTGGCTTATAGTGAATGTGCAGAAATGACTCTTCCCTTCTATCCACCTCCATCTCTTGAGGATTTACTCCTCAAAGGAGCCTTTTCATCTGCTGGAACCCACCCACATCGATTGCTCCCTCTACCAGCTCCTGTTGGCCCAATTATGGTGACTGTCATTGATGGGTTTTTGTCCTTTGCTTCACAAA